CTTTTATTTTACAGTAACTAAAAATAGCAAAAACATTCAAACTTAGATACCATTTTAAAAGGTGTTTCAATACCATTTTTTTACCTATTCTAATGTACACTGAATGTGATGTTCCAATTTCCCACCTAAAATTTTGTAATTATTGCAATTTTGCTTTTTAGGTTTAAACGTTGATCATATGTTATGATCAATTGTAGTAATTTTGCTTATAAACTAATTTTTTTAAACTTTTTCATAAAATTATGCGCTGAGTAAAGTAAAAGCGATATAAAATCCTTTTGATACTTTCAATCGACGTCAGGCGTGGGTCAGCCAATCAAGTATGACACACCCATCTGATGTGACGTTGCTGGCAGGCATCCAAGTATCCAATAAAATGTGTTACTCAAATCGATTTAGGGTGATAATAAACCCAAGCCTTATTAAGCTAACCGTTAATACGCCATGCACAACCACGAGATAAGACGAAACCATGTGATTAGTTTACAAGTACCCAATTGCGCATAACCAACTAAGCTTTAAAAACGATGCTCATTATAAACTTATATAGCAGAAATTATACTATATTAAAAAATAATAATAAAATACCATGTTAATATTTTGCATTTTAGTTTCACGAGTGTTCATTGAAATAGGTTAAGCATATTATTTGATGCAAGAAACCTACTCACTGTTTGACGTCACTCAGCATCACGTTGAATTACTATATCGTATAAATTTATTGAAGCCTTAGTGCAGTGCAAACTTGAACCATATTAGTATTTACAATTTACCAATGTTGAAGATATGATACCATGGTTTACTAGGATACTAGAAATTCATAATACTATGGTTTCACATGGATGAATTAAATTTTTCAAGAAGAGTGGCACAACTGTTACAGTAAAGAAAAATGCTTTTAATCACTATGGGACAAGGATTAAAAACGCTTTTTTAAGGGAGTTTAAAAAAGGTTATAAGTTGATTTTCAGTTCAACATGCTGTTGCCGATAAAAGAATTACAACTGAGCAGTGTAAAGTAAATAAAACGAAAAACTGAATTATTAATAAAGCATAATCAAGTTTAACTACCAAAATATTTAATTTGTAAACTTAAACTTTGACTTTTATCATTTGTTACCAAAATCGCAGGTTTTTTATTTTTCTTAATACAAGTTGTAAGAACAACGTTGAAATGAAAACTTCATTGCAAAACCAATAATCTTTACCAATACTATTGTTAAAAAATGCAAATTATTGTTTTTTTTAATTCTTCCTTTTTAATATTTGTTTATAAGCTTATGTCTTGATTATATTGCAGAGATTTATCCGGAAATAAACTTCACCTTATTAGAAAGTCCGATTTTCCGGAGCTTTCAAATCTTGACACTTTGTAAGTATAAAAGTTTCAAGTTAAATGTAAAAAGAAAACTTAAAGCTACAGTTAAAAATCACATACCTGTTTCGAGTAAACTTTTAACTCAAGGCTATGATACTTGTATTTAAAACATAATATTTTTAAGATTGATTTCTTGCAGTGTTATTAAGACAAAATATAATTAGTACTTTTTATTCTAATCACAATAAATTTCATCAAAAACAATATTTAAGGGAATTAAATTGTTGTTGTCGTCGTAGGCAAGAGAATTCAATTAAAAATAAATAAAAATTTTCTTTCCACGCCAAATAAAGCCACTTAGAAAAGTTCTTTTTCAAATAAAACGATCGCAACTAAAGTTTCTATATGCAATTACCTGAAACACCAGGTTTTTAACTCGATCACGGTTTTTATTTCGTACAGCTATCAGATATTATTCCTGAAAGGTCTTAAAAGTAAAGTTGTGAGCCCGGAGGTTCATAGAGGATAAACTCCACTGTTTCGAGACCCACGAAATTTTACTTCCCAGACAAGTTGGTACCCATCTAACTGAAACTGGGTGGGTTGCAAGCCACATTTGGAGATCTAACCCCAGCTCTTTACAATGACAGCTCGTAGCCTTAACCCCTGAGCTATCACGGCTCAGTAGTATTGATGTATATTAATCTATTAACCTTTAAAACAATTGCTTATAGCCAGTAACAAATAAATTTTTTTTTTATAAATTGCTTACGGTTAGTTCTAAGAAGCCAGCTATCTTTTCCTTGGTAGTACCAGTTTTGATACGTAGTAAAAAGTTCAAAGTGTTTGGTGAAAAATTATAATCTCCGTAGTCATTTTCTTGCAACAACATCATTTCCTCTATTAGAGTCTGTCGGACTTACCGGTAAATAATCACTAGCTAATGATTGCTTTGAAAAAAGCTTTGCTCCTATTACTATTAAATGAGTTTAGACAAGTTTTTAAAAACAGTTTGCAACTGTCTGTTTAACAAAAGAATTCTTCCCATCTTAGATTCTGGTGATGTCTACCTCTATGGAAACAAGAAAATATACACTTCAAAGGGATTTTAATACTTTTCCTGCCAACTGAGTCTTAACTTGTTCTAAATATTTAAAATATGAAAACACTCCTACTTTAAATAGTTTATATCCTGTTTGAAATAGTAACATTTGTAACTAAAGTCATCAACATACGAGAGGCGTTTTCTCGTCAGAAAAACAGAAAAATAGTTCATTTCATAGCGATAATTTATTTCATAACTGGTGTTGAATAGACGACCCAATCTGAGTTTACGACTGTCAAAATTTAACTCCGTAGACTTGTATTTTTGAGCCCAACCAAGAAGACAAGGGAATTCCTGGATTGAGTATTGAGACAAATTAGTTTTCGAGGAGGACTGTTTCATGGAACTAACCCGCATTTGCGTTACATTGAGAGGAAAAACACTAAAACCTCTTACGGTTAGCAGGCGGTAAGGAGATTTTAACCTTTGATCCATCTATCACTAAAGATATTTTACTTCCCTATCTATGGTTGACGCGCAGTTGGCAGCAGAATTCGTATTAACCAGCCACTGCTAGGAATCGAACCTGGTCACCTCAATGGAAGGCGAAACTGATATTGCTTATAAAAGGTTTTGCCTGTCTAACTGGCGTATAATTGCATAAAACAGAGCTTGTTAGATTCGCTGACGATGATATTGTTTATAAGATGGCCTATGGACAAACCTTCAAATAATAATGCATAAGAAAATCTGCTAGATTCATCGATAAATGATTGCGTATGGGAAAAAGTATTCCTATCCATTTAAAATAACTCAAAATTATTTTTAATATCTAGTTTAATTATTCTGAAGGAGAAAGAAAAATTCCTTGCTTTTTAAAGTATGACACACAATTTAAATAACGCTTTATTTTTAAAAGTTTAGAAAAGATTTTAAATCTTTACAAAATCTCAAAGTAACATAAAAAGAAATTAATACACATTTTAAAAATTTTTATATATTAATTTGGGAAAAAATTTAAAATGTACTCGAAATTTTGCACCTGATAATTTATCATATTTCTATTTAATTTGTAGGTTGTTGACATCGTCAGAAGTAACTTTATTGAAGCCCGGGGCATTGGGAAATCTGTCGAACTTGAAAAAACTGTAAGTTTAAAATTTAATTCCTATTTAACTAAAAAAAGAAACATTGTTTTGAACAGAAATTACATTTAGTTTTAACAACAACGACATAAATGAAGGCGTCTACGTATCAGCAAGGCTGAAGATATTTAATAAAAATTGTATTCCATGCAGATTCAAATAAAATTCAAAGCAAGGATTTAAAATTAAATAAGAAATTCATTTTTTCAATTTATTTCCATGCAGATTATCAGATATAGTTCGGCTATTCCTGCGTTAAATAACGAGCGTATATGGGATTTACTTTTTCATATACTTTTTCATCAAAATTCATAAAATGAATGAAATTTCAATAGCATATTTGCTATTTCGAAAGGTATTGCTTGTGTTGGTAATGTAACATCCTTTAATCAATTTTTTTCATTCGGAATAATATTATTTGAAACGCAAAACCTAAACAAAGGGTAATTTCTATTTGATCTGGTCTTATTTATCAGAAACAGGGGTTTCATCTTTGAAAATCATGGCTTGAAATAAACTTTTAAATCTATAAAAATTTCAACCTAATCAGTGTTCACTGTGTTCATGTCATACAAATTAGAAATTCTAACCCCTAAGTAAATTTCAATCAAGTTAATTTGTATTATTTGATCAATATTTTAAAATGTTTTCCTTAATATAATTTATATTTTAAAAGTGTTTTTTTTAATTTAATAATTGTTGAATTTTTAAAAGAAATCACCAGCTGTTTTTTTAAAAATTCTTTTATCATTTTCTTCATAACATGAATGCAAAGAATTTTCCAATAACTACTATTTTTTACCAATACTATTATTTATTCATCAATTCATAAATAACTATCATTTTTAGCAGGAATCTGTTTTTATTTGTTAACTCTCTTTTTTAAAAAAATATCAACAATATTGAAATATTTTATAACGGTGAAACATAGAATTCTACTAAAAACAATGCTTAAAAGTTAGTACTACGAGTATAGTCTCTCGTATTATCTCGTTTATTAATACACCACATTCTAAATCGTAAATTGATATGAAAGATATAATATGCTAAAAAAATCTATGATAAAGAGCACCAAAAGAACACAAACAACTAAGAATAGTGTAAGAGTGATATTTTGAAGATGTTGCATTGTCTACCATACATAGAAACGTCACGCAGTTGCAATTTCTACAACATACTAAGGTGAGTTACGGATTTTATTTCCTATTCTTTGTGTGGCTTATATCTTTTCTCAGGAGAGAATTATCTTCAATTTTCTTCATTCTGTATATTTTTTAGGTGTGCATGCTGATTTTTTTTTAAATAACCAATATAAAGTTATTATGAACTGGATATATAGCTAAATTCAATTTTAAATTTTTCTTATTTTTAAAAATTAAATATTTCTTAGTTGAAGTGAAATATTTCTTAGCTAAATAAAAAAAAGTATGTTCTTGATAGTAAAAGAAAATTGTTGAAAAAATGTGACAGAGTTTCGTTAAATTTATCATTTTAATGCCAAAAAATGCATATGTGTATTATAGTTTTCTTTTTTTATAGATACTTGACCAGCAATAGAATAACAAGCATAGGCAATGGAACATTTAGAAGTAATACCAAGCTTAAGCTTTTGTGAGTGACTATGAAATTATTTTTTATTTAATCAATGTAACTTTTATTGCTATTTCTTTTTTTAGCAAATGAGTCCCCTCTATTGCGTTCGGATGACGTAAATCTCTTACGAATTAAAATAAAAAGGCGCAGAGCAGTAGTTTTAATTCAGACAACACTATAGGGAAAAATTAGAAATTTTTTTTTATCGACCAGAAGTCAGTTGTACTATTTTTTTATAATGGAAACTTTTTAAAACGTTTAGCATTTTTTTTAGCTTTTTTTTTAGGGGTTTTTAACCTTGAAAAAAATCGATTTTTTGAAAAAAATATATATTAATATATGGGCGATTCTGATTATTTTGACACCCATTTACGTTTCTATGTGGCTGGGTTCAGAAGTTATGAGGAAAATTGTAAAAGATGTCATTGTCAAAATTTAGATTGGAAACCGAAACTAACTGTCATGAGATGAAACAGGATGGTTGTTAGATTGAATTTTTTATTTTAACGCAATTATTTCCTTAAATGTTTTAAATAATATTTAATTAAGTTTTTTGGTTGAAAAAAATTGACAACTAAACTCATCTCGACAAGATCAGCGTGTTTTGTAAACATTCAAAAACGATCGCTTGCTATTCTTTCATTCTCGACTTTTTTCTTGAATTATCTTGTTTTATTGACTGTTGTTATTTGTTTTTATTGTTTTCTGCTTATGATGCTGTCATCACATTTAATGATGGCAAAATAGGACGAAAAGCAACTTTGGAGAGTCTTGGCTTAAAAGTTGGCGCTTATGAAAACTATGCACAAAAAGCAGACAAACTAAGAGTTAAAACTGCTGAAAAGCGAGCTTTGATGGCAAGTTTAGAGGGAAGACGAACAAAAAGACTTAGTGAAAAACTAAAAAATGAAAAAATTAAAAGAAAGGAAGGAAATATTTATGATCCAGGAGCATACTAAAATTTTTTTTAATAATTGTAATTTTTTAAAAAAAAACATTCTTCTCTATTTCAGTATTCGACATAACTGTAATATTTGAAAAATGTTTAGAATTATTCAAAATTTTATATATGTAATTTAAATCAAGCAATTTGTATTTTATTTATTTTCTTGGACATATCTGAAACACAATTAAAATGTTTCTGATATTTTGAACTTATTTTAAATGAATACAAATATAAAAAATTACTGGCTTGCATATTCGACGATAAATAATTTACATTTCTACGAGTCAATAAAGCTAAATGTTCTTATGCCAACTTTAATAGGAGCTTACTATTTATAAAGAAGTTATTAAGTATAACTTAATTTAAGTGTTTTGTGAAAATATATTTAATAATATACTTTTACTTATATTTTACTGCATTTCAAAACTTTAAAGTGGATTTTCTCAAAAGTGTTTTTCAGCCACCGTCCGTAAGATTTTGAAAAAACTTTTCTTCCGATTGCCTTAAAATTTTGTATACACATATTTATAAGTAATATCTACAGAATGAATTAATATTTTGCAAATCCAATAATATTTAATTAATAAATTTTTCAAAAAAATTTACTTTTTTTGAAATTTTTTGAAAAATTTAAAACATTTGTGTTTAAAAAATAGCAATATTTGAAATATTTTAAATTCCTTAATTCATTCTGTAAAATAGATTGTTATGAACAATTTAAGACCATAACGAGGCAAATAAGTCATTTTGTTGTATAGTTATCTTACGGACGGTGGCATACAGTAAAAGAAAATAACGACATTTTATCCAATTACAAACCTATTTATATTAAAAACTATTTCATGTAATGATTTTTTTTATCTCTGTTCTTAAATAATGAAGTATTCAGTGTACCAAGAATCAAATCTGTAGCTTAATTTTTGTCCCAGTGACAGTCTTTCGAAAAAGATGATGCATTTTCATCAAATTAAGGCGTTTAAAACCCCCTAGACCCCTTAATAACTTAAAATTCTAGCCTATTAAAAAACTACCAATGAGTTTGATTCTTTGATCTTTTGATTTGGTTCTCAAAATATAGTAAACACTACAGAATTCATTTTAAAATAATAAAAAAAATATTTGACCTCTCTAATTAGGTTTATACAAAATTTTAGAATTTTACATAATGTTTTGACCTAGTCAAATTTAGGATTTGTGGTTTTGAACCCATATTTCAACATAAAATCTAGGAAACATTAAATTTATTCTTTAAAAAATAAGTATAAAATAATTGTAATCAAAATGAGGAAATGGTAATAAGAATATCGAAGTTGAAAATATGTATTTATTAAGCATGATATGTAGCTTTTGGGGAACAAAAGTGAATATGGGGTGGTGATTAACATGAAAATTTTTATCACCACGTTTTATATTTAGATCTTCTGTGACCTGTGGTGCCCTTTAATTTTGAAAGAATAATTTGGTAATGCCTGAAATGGTATTTCAAGAAAAAGTAATAATTTAGGTCAATATCAACCTTTTCTGTTGCCAGTGATCTTTAATACTTTTGCAGTTTATTTTTAAAAAGACAAATAATTAGGGTTTATTCAAAAAATAATGAAAACAATTGTTTTTCCTTAATTTAGTGAAATAATAAATAAAATAAAGGGAAATAAAGCAGATAATTATAAAAAAAGCAGTGGTAAGAATTGGACAATTGGGTACAAGTTATAAAACTTTAATTCAATCTCGTTATCTGTTTAAAGGTGGAAAAAAACTAGTATGTAATGTATTGACCAGCAATGTATTGAATATCATAAGTGGTGTAAGAACAGTAAGAACATTGAAAGGACTGCTAATAAACATTGTTGGTGGTGCTAAAAAGTTTTGTCTGTTTGTTTTTAAGGTGAAAAATAAATAGTTATTTTAACAAGAACGAAAGTATATAGTATAAGCAATTCTACAAGTAAACGCCAATTAGGCGGCCAAAAAAAAAATTAAAAAAATTTTGGGGGGCACACTATTTCTACATGAATTTTCTTCTTTTTTACACCCTAAAAAGGCAAGAAAAAATCGTGAACATGAAATTTTTTCTTTGTGACATACTTTAAATGTGACATACTCTTTCTGACATACTCAGATAAATCTGAGCCATTTATTCAGATAAAACGATTTTTACATAAATATAATATTATTATACTCTCTAAAATGTATTTATAGAGATTTCATACTATAATATTATATTTTAGTATAAAAATTGGCGTTTATTTGTAGAATTGCTCATATCGTCGCTTTGAAACTAAACCGTGGTAACTCAAAAAAGCAAGTTTTTCAGGAGAGCAATTTCTAACTTTCCGCGCTAATGCTAATCGCGCCAATGCGATAACGATTTATCTGCTCTCTAAATTAATTTTATGGAACTATGAAGATAACACTTTGTTTCTCTAAAAGGGTGATTTTCTTTTTACACAAAATGACCCAAATATCTCATTTTTCGATTTACTACGGTTAGTTTCAAAGCGACGATATGAGCAATTCTACAAATAAACGCAAATTAGGCGGCCAAACAAAAATTAAATGTTTTTTTTGGGGGGGGGCATGCTAGTTCTACATCAATTTTCTTCTTTTTTACACCCTAAAAAAGCAAGAAAAAATATTAAACATGAAATTTTTTCTTTGTGACATATTTTAAATGACAAAATGCCAATTTTAAATTTTTCCCGATTTTTTCAATTTAAGAACTTTGATTAATTTTTTTTATTTTCGTTTTTTATACTAAAATATAATCTCATAGTACGAAATCTCTATAAATACATGTTAGAGAGACATTATAATAATATTATATTTATGTAAAAATCGTNAAAACTTTAATTCAATCTCGTTATCTGTTTAAAGGTGGAAAAAAACTAGTATGTAATACATTTACTAGCAATGTATTGAATATCATAAGTGGTGTAAGAACAGTAAGAAAGGACTACTAATAAGCATTGTTGGTGGTGCTAAAAAGTTTCGTCTGTTTGTTTTTAAGGAAAAAAATAAATAGTTATTTTAACAAGAACGAAAGTATATATAACGCCTCTATAGTAGCTTTTCCCTTAATAGACGCCTCTAATTTAAAGACAACCCCAATGTAAGGGAGTATTTTTTGGTGTCCCTTTGAATAGAAACTTCTTTAAATAGAAATAGGAAGAATAAGAGTCATTCGATGTAAGGGACATGAAATTTTTTTTCGAAATGTAAGGTACATGCAGATAAACAAAAAATAAATATTGAAATATTCTTTATCTATCGAGTGAAGAAAGAATGAAATTTTTCTACACATAAATAAAGTTAAAAAAGTAAAAGGGTTATTAATATTGTTATAAAAGCAGACGTACTATAATTTCAGTTCTATCATGAATTTTTTTACTTAGTGTTGAAACAGAGAGAGATTCAATTGTAAATTGATAATTTACAATGAGTATAAGAAAATCGGTAAATTGATCAAAAACAATGTTTGAACAAGATAATCAAATAAAAGAAAGAAGATAAGATACAACAGTTGTGAGAAAGGAAGGAGAATCTCAGTTGTTAGTTTAAAAGTTTTCTTTTAGTTAAGTACAAAAAAGAAAAATTAAAAGTGATAAATTGAAAAGAAAATTATATAGCTGCAAAAAATGGGCTATTTGGTATCAAGTATAGGTGGAAGAGTTTAAGATTCATTAAAACCCGTTTACAATTGATAAAAGGAAAAATGTCAGTGTATTTTATCGAATAAATAGTGCACTCTTACTATTTACGTAAAAACAGTGTAACAATATAGTAAATATTACACGTCGCAATAATGATTCATTACAGATCTCAACATGGCGTTTGTTGGTAGTAAAGTGTGTAGAGTAAAGCAAATAAGTGACGTTATTAAGTACTCCATTGATGTTTGAGAAATCTTGTTTCTTAATAATGAAACTTACATAAAAAGCTGAGCGGAAAGAAACAAGCCCGCATAAAAAAGAGTTTTAATTAAAGCCATGAGTTTAAAAAAACAGGTAGGAAGTCTCAGTATTTTAAGGAAATTAAAAAAAAACTCAATTAAATAGTTGTATTAAGTGCTAGC